GTATTTTAAAAATATTTCGGTAGCGTAGTGGTGGAGACACTATGCTACAAGCCGGAAGGTCGCTACTTCAAGTCCCGATGAGGTCATTGGATTTTTTTCAGATGACCTAATCCTTCCAGCTGCACTAGGCCCTGGGATTTACTCAACCTCTAACAGGAACGAGTACCAGGAATTAAATAGTTTTCCTGGGGAGTAAAGGGCGGCCGGCGCGTAAGGCTGACAACCTTACCGCCATCTTTGAGCTGACTGTCTAGAAAATGTGGGACCCTCAACGTCTCACAACCCTTTGGGCCTTCACGGCCTATTACAGGGATAGCTTTACTTTACTTTATTTAGTTTATATCACACTACACTATAATAGTGTTACAATAGTGTTTTCATGGACAAAAAATTAATCCAATTATCAGAATTTTCGATTATCCGAACCACCTTTCTCACTAATCCATCAGGGAAATGGCGTTCGGCTCTGCTATTACGATGATAGATTAAAGGAAAGGAGATGACGATGATATATAGCACGCATGGGAAAACTGAGGGGAGCATAGTTATACTCGGTTAACCTCAAAGAAAGCGACTATTTGGTTGATTTATGCTTAAATATGAAGATGCTATTAAATTAAGTATTACATAAAAATGTGTGTGCTGGATTGAATTGACTTGGAGTATAATCTAATGACGAGCTTTTGTGAACACAGAAATAAGCCTTCGTGCTCCAAGGAAGCAAGAAATCTCTTGACTGAGTAAGATGTAAAGAAAACTAACAAACGTCTTCCTGATTCCTATTCTTCATGTACTACAGGTTCAGTAATTAAACAGGGGAAGTTGAGATGAGACGCCCATATATCCCGCACGGAGGTGATAAGGAAGAATACGAAAAGTTTGGTCGAAACTCTGCGTGAAAAATGTCCCCATGGGATACCGTGACGCAGGTAATGGGATCATGAAAACATGTTCTTTGAGGCACTGATGTTTATTTCAAGCAGAGATCAATGATGGTGAAGATGATAAAAGGACACCGACTGGGAAATTATCTTCTTTGGAACTTTAATTTGTCACGAATCGTTGTTTCCTTTCATTTAGTGATACTAGAATTCTGAACACATGTCAGAGACTTAATTTTGCTACAGGTCCGACACTCTTTAAGGAAGACTTGCAAAAATAAGGAGCAGCAGAAATCGGATTGTTTATGCTGATCAGATGTGCTATGGGAGATTATAAATATAACACAGAGAATAAGACACAAATTATCTTAAGGACAAGTAAAGAAATATAGTTAAGTCTATATAAAATAAAAAAAAATATTAACGCTAAACAAAATAAACAATAAAGTCATATATAATAATCCAAAACCGTTTGACAACACTTAAAAGAGTTTCGTGTGCAGTATCTGCTAACAAGCTAGAAAATATGAACGATTTTCATGATGAACTTAAAGTGGAGTATACGTCTCGAAACCCTTGTTATTATTCGATTCAGAACTGTTATTATCTCGCCTACTTCCCGAATCGCTCAAGTTAAGAATGTTAGGGAACAATAACACAGCCAGTTACTTCGGATGAATGTGAAAGGTGGTGTCTACTTTAAAACAACACAAATTACATTTTTTTTGAAGATGAAACGCTCAAAGAATCGTTTGAAAGAAGGATGAAGTAAGTGAACAATTTAAACGAAAAACTCCGTGGTTTTAGTCCGCAAGCGAACTATACCGACTGAGCGAGCGACGCTTGTCGGCGAAGTTAGTGCCAACTTTTAGCGGCTATAGAGTGTCGCGTGGTCAGCGCAACAAAAGTAAAGGTATCCCTGCAACAGGCCGTGGAGGCCCATTTGGTTTTGAGATATTGAGTTTCCCACATTTTCTAGACAATCGGCTCAGAGATGGCGGCCGCCCTTTACCCCAAGAATATTCCTGGTACTCATTTCTGTTAACTTGTACTCTTCTCAAGTATAATTAGAATGATCAAGTTAAGGAGGATGAGATGGGCAGGTCATGTAGCAGGAATGGGGGAGACGAGGAATGCGTATAGGATATTGGTGGGAAAGCCAGAAGGAAAGAGACCACAGGGAAGACCAAGGCGTAGGTGGGTGGACAATATTAGAATGGATCTTAGAGAGATAGGATGGGATGGTATGGATTGGATAGATCTGGCTCAGGATAGGGACCAGTGGAGGGCTCTTGTGAACACGGTGATGAACCTTCGGGTTCCATAAAATGCTGGGAAATTCTTGAGTAGCTGCAGAATTGGCGGCTCCTCCAGAAGGGCTCAGCTCCATGAGTAAGTAAGTAAGTACTCATTTCTGTTAGTGGCTGAGTCGACCCCAGGGCCATAGTGCGGCTGGAAGGATTAGGTCAATTGAAAAAAAAAATTCAATAACCTCATCGGTACTTGAACCCGTGACCTTCCGGCTTGTAGCATAGTGCTTCAACCAACTAAGCTAACGCGTGCCCCTCAAGCAATTTAAATATCATACAAAAAATAATACGTTTATGTTACCTAATGTTGTTAGGGTAGTGAAGTCTGGGAGATTATGATGCGCTGGGTATGTGTTTAGGATGACAGAGGTAAGAAATGCATGCAGAATTTCTCTCAGGAAATCTCTTGTAATAAGTTTACCTGGAAGAACGAGAACATGGAAAGCTAGCATTAAGATGGGTCTCAGAGAAATGATTGTGCGGTTGACAGAAGCATTGACTAAGTCAGCTTCTTACGAGATGCGGATATTAACATTAACGGCTCCGAAATTCTGAATCCTTTACTTATTTATGGAACTTACACATTTTCAATACATATTACGCGCTAAATCGTCGAAATGGAAAGATCGTTGTGTGGGTGAAATTCCAGCGATCGCTTCGAGTTATTCTTAGCTTCATCCCGACCGCAAGGCGAGAGAGGAGGCTGGGAGGTGCTCCAGCAGTTGCCGCCAATTTGTGTTACAGCCAAGAATTGTATCACATTCCGTGTGCCAGAAAGTGTGCTAAGTGGTGACAACGGACATGTGCTTTCATGAAAATGACTAGCGTTTACTTCTGATAGAATAACATTCTCAAACCATTTAAAAATAATTGATTAAATTAGATTTCTGAATGTAATTATATTCAGCTTGAAAGAGTACTTCTCCCTGAACTCATAAAGTGACATTTCTAAGAAGAACTTACATATAGGCTACAATTTGAAATGAAGTGTCAATGTCCAATAACAGGCAAAGTGATTAGAGGTTCGACATAGTTTCCTCTTCATAATTCTAGTGAACGAACATAGCTGCTGTACTCTCCAGTCATTCAAGCCACTAACATTTTGTGAAAATTCAGTACTGTGGTTGGTTTATAAATAGAACAAAATGGATCGCCGCATGTCTGACTGGAACCAGCTGACGTTTGAGGCGGCCATGTTAAAGGGCGCCCACGCTTCCTGGAAGGGGCCAAGTCGGCGGGTGAAACGAACAGCCATGGTGCGTACGCGTGCATGTGACCCGTGGTGCTCGGGCGTTACAAGACGCGTACACTTGACTCAACAGCTGACATATTCGCCGAAAAATAAATAAAAAATATACAGGAACGTTAAAACATTTGTCATTTTCGTCCTCCTACAAGATGAGATGAAAAATTGTTGCCAGCGGTAACGGTGCATGTAAAGTTTGCCTTTCTTCAAGTAAGCGCCAAGCCTGAAAACTTATGGCGTAGAGGTACAGCTCCGTGCATTCTTGAACACCGCGGCAATAGGCAGGAATGTGTGGTTAGCATCACACTTCGACAAATTAACCTCCTGGGAAAATACCGCTGGTCTAATTTACAGGAGAATGCATAGGTGCTAGAGCTGATCTATAGGTTTAGGCGTAACGAACACAAAAAAAAACTTTGTCCTTGCCAGGAAAAAAACCCCGTTCGTCAAGCCCAGTTGATGTTCCTTTGCCGTACTATTTGTGGCAGTACTTCCTCTATACACATGAACTGCAATAAAATATTCACAGCTATTTTCAAAAAGACTATAACTTTGAGCTTTAAGTTCTATGCAATGTAGCTACACTCCAAGACATAATATTGAAATTCATAGAGCCCTGTACACAGTATAACCAGCTTGAATGCCAGAAAGAACATTCGCTGAACCATTCAGATAGGCTTAGGTTATTTGTGGAAGTCAGCGTCTGCAAGATTGCCGAGAGATGCCAGTCCAGCCACGATAATTTCGATCTCGGGGTCACACAGAGCTTACTTAGTCGTTACGCGCTCGGCAAAAAGTACTTTCCTTATACTGCATGTAGAAAAAGAAATACGTGAAGAAATTGATGGGGGCAGAAGTTGACACTGAAGCGATGTGCGATTTTGTCTATCCATCTAACAAAATGTCGGATGTGCCCAATGCTGAAATGAACGTGAAATAATGAATTGTTCACACAAATGAAGCAAATGTTATTTCAGTTTTACATTTGTATGATTCTTCCAATGTTCACACTGTTTCGTATTACACTACTGTCTGCCCTTCAGAAGACTTCCGGTTCAGATAGATAATAAAGATAAGCTTTCTACTGAAATAGCTGAGATTACTGTAGGGGCAGCGAACGCTTTGGCGGGTGGCATTTGTCACATGGTTACAGCTGAACCTGTCAGTGAGCCATGCTCTTCCTTTCATCTCGTTGAAGTACGTGATGTTGGACTTGGAGAGTGACAAGTATTTATGTTTGGGGGAATCTATAGAAGGAATACAAGAAAATAATACGATTAACAATAATAAGAGTGTATAACGAGCTCCGGGATAGCGCAGTCGATATAGCGACTGGCTACATACTGGACGACCAAGCGGTCGGAATTCGAGTCCCGGTGGGGGTAAGATTTACACGTCTTCATGTCGTCCAGACCGGTTCTGGGGTCTACCCAGCCTGCTATCCAATGGGTAACGGGTCTCTTTCTCTGGGGGTAAAAGGACCGGGGAGTGAAGCTGACCACTCACCTCCAACTACTGCCGAGGTCAAGAAAATGTGGGTCTATACATTCCCTCCCCAATAGGTCTTCATGGCCTAGCGCTTAATTAATTAAGGACAGAGACAACTTTACCTGTTACCTTTACAGACTGATCATAAAAAATGTTCGAAATTGAATGAAATGCCTTTTCATTCTCAGATTTTAGGATAAAATTAAACAACTATTTTTATTTTTTCATATCTGAGGTAAATTGAAATTCATGAGGTTCTTTCAGACACACACATTCATTACAATTTTTTTAGAAAATGAGAGAAAGACATCCAATCCCTACCACTTTTAATAATTACCTCCGTAAATCGAAGTCTCCCCTGAGAGCTTAGATGCTGAACTACCCAGGAACTGAGCCGGACGAATCCAGTCCATAAGACTAATTTAATTTCAATTAAAGATGTATAATTTAAACTCCAGCATCCACATTTCTTGAAGACCCACATCCACGTCAGCGCTTAGGTTTCAAAAATGGTTCTTTTCAAACTTTCCGACTAAAGTTTTCTGCTTAAAAATTTATTTATAATTTGTCATACGTACTACGTGCCCCACCCATCCATTTCGCCTACAGTTTTATCGCCCTAATAATATTATTAACAATAAAGACGATGAAATGAAAGCTAATAATATTTCTAGATATCCGAATTTTAGCACTGGTTACTCCTAATTATGTAATGAATAACAGATCTCTATGCAGGCTGGAATTGAACCGGACAACTTTCTTGAGAGAGAGGGATAACCCCGTTTTATCACAGTCAGGAAAGCTGAGCAATAACCACACGTATGAGTTCAAGTCCACAAAATACTAAAAATACCTCACGCTAAAGGCATTGTACAGGGAACTGGCTTTGATCGCCAGAGGGCTCCACTCCCAGGGTTCCGGTACCGAACAGTTTTAGCTCTTCTTTAAAATAATGCAGCTTTTTGGCTGTACTGCTGTCTCGGTTTGAAAGATTGACATTATATCAGAAAGTTGTGAAGTGAGATGGACTCATGGGGAGCTCTGTCTGTGGAGTTCGCTGCCTCAGCCGTGTCTGCAAGAGATGATGGGAGTACGAAACGTCCGAAAACGGTACAAGTCGCCCCCCGTGTGATTCCTTGTGGCTGTCGTGTGTTTCCGTCCCTTTGTTGTAGTTTTGGTCAGACACGAGAACGCACACGTCGTCTACAATTTCCTATCGCCATTCTCCAGTGATTTCGGTGATCTGAATTCTTGCCACGTTCATTAACTGAGTTTATTCAGTTGAACCATTTACGATTCCCAGTGTGGTAGCTAACAATTCAGACACAAAACTTAATTCCTCTATATCTCTTTTAATCTAGTATAAGCTAATTTATAGTGTTGGTAGCATGAAATCCACGCAAGGAGTACTAACATCGAAAAAATATGTAACTGTCGAAAAACAAGAGAGACTGGTCAGTAAAAGTGATGTCTAATGGCATTTCCAACTTTCTTGGAAGCTGAGTCTGTAGACGAGACATTGTAGTAATCCACGATGGAGAAATCATTGTATTCCAAATTCCTCACATATTTCATATCTGCCCTATTTCCTCTGATGGTCATGCAGTTATGACGCTGTGCCCGGTCCTCGTTTGTAAAACAATGAATGTAAAACATGCAAATGGACTTATTATTATACGTTGTGCATCCTAAACAATTGTATTCCTATTTTGGATGAGCGTAATTTAGATTCAAGGGATATACGAGTATATGTACCAATTACGTTTGTTTACAACTGAACATTAAACAGTGAAGTGGAAGAACCTCCTAATATATAGAAATAAAAGTACGTTATATTTCATAATCAGATAGAAAAGGAATACATATAGGATATTGTGGGGAAGCCAGAACAGACCACTTGGGAGACCAAGGCGTAGGTGGGTGAACAATATTAAAATGGCTCTTAGAGAGATAGGATGGGATTGTATGGATTCGATTGATCTGGCTCAGGACAGGGACCAGCGGAGGGCTCTTGTGAATACGGTAATGAACCTTAGGGTACCATAAAATGCTGAGAAATTCTTGAGTAGCTGCAGAATTGGCGGCTCCTCAAGAAGGGCTCAGCTCCATGAGTAAGTGAGTAATTAAATCAGATACAAAAATAAAATCTTATGAATATTTCTACAAGCCTATCATGAAAATATGACAGGTTACATATAACCTGGTCTGTAAATTAAGCTGACTATGATAAGTTTATATTTATGCATAGACATCGCAAGAACTTTCTCATACCCCTTTCGTGTGTGAAGTTTAGGGGCAGTTCCAAGATATGTCATTATTCTGGAACATGTGGCCAATTGTAGTTTAATATTTCACTCTCTGTAAGGAAGTTAAATTTAGTTCGTATCTAAGATCTAAAAGTTTGTGACGACGGTACATCAGTACAAATATTATGTTTTTGCACTTTATCCATCGTCCTCCCTTTATCTAAAAATACCATCCTGTTGATTTTTCAAAACACGACGTTTTGGAGACTGGATTCTGTCTCCGTCTTCAAGTAAAATCTACTTAGTTGGGCCCAATCGATGGCGCTACTCCCTGTCTCCGTATGTTTTCTGAAACAGATGTGGAATGATTTAATAACAAATCAGACATGTCATGAGTTGTCAACAGTCAACATAAACACTATTCATCTTGAGAGAGTGCAGCGCCATATGATGTCTGTATTGAATTTGGAGTTCATCTCAAGATAGTTCAGATATTAAAATGAGCAGCTACTGTCTGTGTGACTGTAGTTCTATTCCCGAAAAGAGTAAAAATGTTTCCTTCTCTGCCTCACTCAGTTGGACTCTAGGGATCGTCCATTTTCGTCTTCAGTGTGTATCGATGTGTCTTTCCAGGGGATCAAGCAACTGGGCCATGGCTCTGGTCACTCACATTTCTCTACCGAGCATGTGTGCACTTCTCTATTTCCCCATATATATCTTCATGACATGTTGCTTAATGGAGAACAAAGATGAATTTAATTCAATTTAACACTGAGTTGGACTGTATGCCAGTCTAGTTTGACGCCTGGAATGGCGTTTAGGCTTGCCCACATCCTGAAGACATCAATCAATGTTATGTATGAGTGAATAAAATAAAACTTTATGACTGAATGAGCGATCCTACAATACCGATTATTATTTTATCATATAGCCATGTCAGGGGACTGTGAAACAGAGAAAGATCTTCCTCATTCTGATTAATAAAAATATTCATCTCATTTAGATTTCAGACAAATGTAGTCTCCACAAAGTAACATTGTTAGGCATAGGTATATAGAATGAGCAGCGTGACTATACAAGTGATATATCTGGGCACTACAGACTTGACATTTCTGCCAAGTTACTGAGTTATGATTTAATTCAGTTTCTCTAAACGAATGTTATGCACAAAACTATAATTTTACCTCTGGTTATGTATATTTGGGAACGACAGCAACAAATCAAAATTTAATTCGGGATGAATTTAAGAGGAGATTGAACTCGGGTAATGCTTGCTACCATTCAGTCCAGAACCTTTTGTATTATCGTCTGTTGTCTAAAAACGTATAAAATTAGAATACACAAAATTATAATTTTGCCTGTGGTTCTGTATGGGTGTGAAATTTTGTCTCTGATTTCAAGGGAGGAACATAGACTGAGGGTGTCTGAGAACAGGGTGCTGAGGAGAATATTTGTACCGAAGAGAGATGAACTGACAGGAGGTTGGAGAAGAGTTCATAATGAGGAGCTTCATAACTTGTACTCTTCTCCAAGTATAATTATAATGATCAACTCAAAAGGGATGGGATAGACAGGACATGTAGCATGAATGGGGGAGAAGAGGGATGCCTGTAGAATATTTGTGGGAAGGCCAGAATTGAGACCAAGATCTAGGTGGGTGGATAATATTAAAATGAATCTAAGTAATAAAATGGGATGGTATGGACTGCATTGATCTGACTCAGGATAGGAACCAGTGAAGTGCTCTTGTGAACACGATAACGAACCTTCTGGTTCCACAGAATTTTAGGAATTTCTTGAGTAGATGTACAACTGACGGTTTCTCAAGAAGGTCTGATTTCCATGAAGTTAGTTAGTTAGTTAGTTAGTTAGGCGAATGTTATGACATTACCTTGGAATTCCACGACTGTGCGTTTCAGTTAACACCCATTTTTCCAGTCGGGAACTACGGTTAAGACACTCAGCACGAAACGTGGATATCGCGAACAAAAATTTTCTCCGTTTTACTCACTCCTTCGTGTAAATGCTGGGATAACGCATTAAACGTGGCAGTGGCCGTTTTATCTAGATTCCTCCCATTCTATTAACATACAAACACTGTCCAATTCTATTCAAACAATTATAAAATTGCCCTCATAAGAACACACTAAGAATGAATTCGGGGAATGATTCCTATAATTCAGGTAAAATATACTACCCATGTCTCCCTTTCGCCCATTTAAAAACACCAAGGCTGATATATACAAAATTATGATTTTATCGATTTCCCCTTTTGTTTTGCTTGGGCGTGAATCTTGGGCTTCCTACGGACAAAGATCGATGGTGTTTGGGAACGAGGTTATGAGGAAAATATTTGGACCTAAAGAGGAAATAATTAACATGAAGGAGTAGCAAATTTCACAGTGAAGAGCATCATAATTTGTGCTCTTCACCAACCATTGTAGGACTTATCAAATTAATGACGATAATATTAAAATTGGCGCAAGAAAAATACAACATAGGGGTGTGGATTTGTCTCGACTGGAATAGGATAGGGATCACATGTAGGCTGTTTTGAAAAAAGAAAATAAATTTCCGGTATAATAGATGCTGGGAAATTTCTTGACCAGCTAAGCGAATTCAGCTTACCAGGGACTCTTTTCTTGTAGTTAGCTGAGTTTCTTTCTTTAACATAGAGAAGCTTGGGTTCGAAAGATCCCTCAAGGCTACGTGAATGATCATACCGGATACACTGTCAACAAAAGAAAAATCTTTGTTGAATATAACCAATATATTTTTACATCTCTCAGTAGTAAGACGTTAAAACGAATTATCTTAACGAAATATTATTTGTTGTAACAATAGATCAACGAATCTAACGATTCATATAAAATGTCCATGCTCAATTCGTTATTAATATGAAATCTTATTTATAATTTTGTTCCGGATGTTATAATTTAATAATGCTTGAGGTCCGATGGAAAAAATTGATTTTGCAACATCCATGTCAAACGCATTACAGTACTATCAGTACTCAAAATACAATGGGAAGTAGTTAGTTAGTTATTTTAGAGAGGGTGGGTTTCCCCATTCACCGCAACCAGACTGATCTATTGTGCTTCCCTCTATGATATTCTACCAGTCTCTTTACCCTACCGATAAATGGTGCGTACCATCAGTCCCGCCGAGCAAGCGAGTTCGGCCACTTGCTTAGCGGTGTCTATAATGCTTCCCCCATCTATCAGAGGCCTTAGAGACTA